TTTGTCCACTACTTATTACACGTAATAAATCGAAAAAGTTTTGATACATCTCGAAAAACTGAAACCAAGACTAGGAATTTTTGACGAACAGGATCAAAAATCATTACTCTTTCGACACAAGAAATAAGTAATAGGGCTCCATTTTCCCAAGCATATAATGAAATGACTGAAATTTTCTTTAGAAATATGTAATAATATGGATATTAACAGGAAAATACATGATAGAGCAATTATGCAGAAAACACTGAAGAAATCAACATTGACTGACCTTCATCTATGTAGCGTTCTGATTGTTTCATGAGCTCCCCAATAAAGAGGACAGTGGAAGTAGTACCATCTCCACTTGCATCATCTTGAGCAACAGCTGTCCTTGCAATCATTATGGCCGTTGGGTTTTGAATTTGCTATCAGCATTTAATGAGAATGCGATCAGTCATCCAGCAGCCACATTTATATTCTAATATGTTGGTCCAAGACTCCAAATACTCTTTTTATTTAAGCTTTAAATTGAAATTTAATTCAGAACCCTTTAAATTATAAATGAGAAAATGATCAAAGCAGTTATATGTCATCTTCCAATTGATTTTATTAGGATCCTAAACACCATTATGCTCTATCTAGGCTACAGATTTGGTTGTATTATAGAAAAATTGAGTCCTTTTCGTTATCCTCACCGTGTCAATTTCAGCATCTTCAATACTAGTCCAAGCCTATTCTAGTCCTGTTCTGCCCTAACATAATCCTGGATAAAATATAATGCAACTCTTTCTCATGGATTCCATTCCAGTTAAAGATCTTAATTGAAGAAAAACACTTGAACAATTGGCGTTCAGAGAAAAATAAGCATCAATAAAAGATTTTCATCAAACCATGTAAGTGCATGCCAGTGCAGTGATACCATCTCGTCGTGGTGTAAGATTTTCATTTTTCTCCCAAAATATCTCGTGGGCTTTGATGTTACTTCAATTAACATCCTATTCAAGCCCGCAAAAAAATGTTCACAATATTTTAAGCGAAAATGGCACAAAAGGAGATGCTAGCAAATTCAAAATTTTATTCAACCACCACACAAAAAAAAAAATGCAAAGTTCCAATACCAAAGCAGTAACACTTGAGACCAAAAAAATCCATGAATCAGAATAACAATAATAATAACAGAAAAAAAAACCCAAAACACTACCATCTCTTTTAAAAGCGTGTTGCCATCCTTGGTGAGTTTAATGTCACCAGCTCCACCAACAAGCCTAACAACGATCATATAATTAATTTTAGAACTCCAAAAAGAAGTGAAATATAAGTCGAGTAACAACAAGAAGCATTTACATTTTAATAGTGCCCTTGGGTCCGAGGTTGGTTTTGAGGACATCCTGCAAACCCTTGGCGGCATTTATGTTCATATGAAGTGCCGCTGACTTGTTCAGCACCTCCGCATTCGGATTCAGCACCCTCAACGACATTGTATCGCAGTTTTCCGATCTCTGCAATTACAGAAAACGTCAAATATCTGTCTTTCCCACTAAACAACAACGCATAAAGTACGAATGTAGAGAGAGAAAGAGAGTACTGGTACCGTGAATTGCAAGAGTAGATCGAGATGTGAATAGGGTTTGGAAGTGTCTGCGCGGGCGTGAGTGAGATGGGAAGAGGGTTTTAGGGCTTTCTGGAAGGGTTTGTTTTTTCTTTTTCTTGATGAAGTGAAACAAATGAATGAAACGTCATCGTATTTATGAGTTCCATGCCCCCGGAGAAATTTACCCGTGTTTGGTTTGGATAGAAATCTGATTTTCATTAGGTCCCTGTTTGGTAAGTATTAAAACCCTGTTTGATTTACATTATTATCTCATTAAAATAAAAAATATGACTGTTATCCATCACGTTAATATTTAAATTCAAAATTTATATATCTTATGTACACCCCATAACGGCTATATTTTTTAGTCTCACTCCACAATAATTTGGCTCAAATGGGACCTAAAATCTTAATTTTAATTTAAGTCAAAATCGATCATTAATTTTAACTACGTATTTTATGAGTTTCACAACTTTTCAACCAAATAATTCATCAACTTATATCAAAATCTACTAAAATTTGAGTTTAATCTCCAACAAACAGGATTTAGATTTTAATAAAAATTAACGAAATGTGTGGTTAAAAGTTGATAAAAAATTGTTAGTTCGCTAAATCACTGTTTGGTAGGGACTATAATCTAGATTTTAATTTAAATTAAAGTCAACAAGTAACTTTAACCACATATTTAATGGGATTCATAACTTTTCAATTACATATTTCATTTACTTTTATCAAAATTTACTAAAAACATTATTTTAATTCCCACCAAATAGGGATTAAATGTGTAGTTAAAATTGAGTTTGAGGAAGAATGAGTTAAAAAATTTGGCCAAACTTGGGCTTTGCAAAGTTTATAAATATTTTATCCCTATTATCATGTGTTTTGGTTTAATTAATGGGTTGTGTGATAAAGCTTTTGAAAATGAGGAAAAAAAAAAGTAGCAGATTTTGATAAAAGTTAATGAAATGTAATATTAAAAACTGATTAAAATTGTTAGTTTGTGAAATGTGTCGTTAAAATTAACGTTTGACTGATTAAAAAGTTGATAATATGTTTAAAAAATTATACCAAACAAGAAATAAGAATAAGGCCACCTTTAAATTGATTTTAGAACCCAATTTTCGATTGTCAAACTATTCAAAATTATTTTGGCATTTGATAGGTTTTAGAAAAGTGACTATAAAAGAATATGTACCATGTGAAAGCAGATTTTGAAAAGTAGCAAAATGGTAATTTCTCAAATCCTATCCTCCTTTTAGTTTCGGGTAATCATATTGCCACGACAAAAATTATTTTCCATGCCACAATTTTAAATATTTTCCGTACTTAACAAAAATGGATTTTAATAAAATGGCATAAATAACCTATTAATTTTATCAAACTAGTTTTTACATACATCACAATCTCTTACAACCAATAATCTTGTTCTCTTTCATCTTTTATCACGGGGGCAGCGGTAGGTTGGCACATAAAGAATCTATCAAAACAGAGAAAGGAAAAAAAAATTTAAGTAATTAAATTGAATAGCAAACCTACCTCGATCTACCCATTTGCAGCAGCCACATGAAATGCAAAAAGCAAAGCAAAAGCATAAATGGCTTGGGAATTTATACCATAGATGCAAAGAAACCACGCGCACTGATGGTGAGCAAATGTCGTCAATTGTTCAAATCTCAACCCCTTCTTTACCATCGATGCAAAGAAACCACGCACACTGAGGGTGAGCAAATGTCGTCACAGTCTTTATTGTCACGGGTGAGCAAAGATCAAGTTGAAGCTGGAAACGTCGCTGAAAACGGCCTTTTTAGAGATGGAGGATGTATCATACATGTACGTTGGCCACGCTGCCGTTAAAGATAGCGGCACAAGCGAGACCCATTTCAATGTGAGTATTGGTTCAAGCAAATTCGAAACCTATTTCAGTGCAAAAAGCTTTCCATGAATGGTTTTCACTGTAAAAAAAAATTGGGTTCTCATTTGCCATTGCTTCAATTGTTTCCTTCTTTCCAATTTGGACGGTAACAAACGTATCATTTTGGTGGAATTGTTCAAATCTCAACCCCTTCTCCATTTCGTTGGCATTAATAAAAGTGTCTAAATTGTTCTTCAAGCTCCACCCACCATGACGGAGAAGGTAGATGGTGAGGAGAGGGAACAAGGTAGGGAGAGCAAATGAGTGTTGTGTGGTGTATTCTACTCTTTTAGGGTTACATTTGTAAATTAGTACTGGCATTCTAAATGGGGTGTATTTATAATGAGGTTTAAAAAATAAAAAATGTGATGGGAATATAATTACCCTTTAGTTTCTTCAATTATTTTTAATTAAAATACCATTTTTAACCCTAATTAGATAAATTAATTCTTCTTCTCATATACATTTTATGCTTTTAAATTAGATAGTAAGCCATGTTTGACACACATTCTTTCAAAATATATTTTTTCAAAACTCATTTTCAATCACATATTTTTTAATAAAATAATATTTTTCATCATATCAATAACTTTCTTTACTTTTTAATCACATATATCCCATAATATCACTATTTAAAATTCATTCTTTTCTCAATAATATCCATCAAACACTCCCTTATTTTATAAATTTTGACATTTTAATAGAGGCTAATTTTTTTGGATTTAGCCCCCGTTTGATACGGATTAAATCAAAATTTTAATCTAAATTAAAGTCAGCAATTAGTTTTAATCAAACATTTCCCCACAAACATATTTTATTAACTTTTATTAAAATTTACTAAAATTTTAATTTCAATCCCTAACAAACAAAGGTTTATAATGATTGTAGTGAATATATTATCTTAAAAAGCATTTCATAATATTACTTATTAATATAAAATAGAAACAAATATTACAATAACACTAACGGTGATAATATATAGCCCCCGTTTGGCACCCATTCTTTTGAAGAATGAGTTTTTGAATAGTGATTGATGTAAAGAATGTGTGGTTAAAAAGTAAGAAGAATTTTTGGATTTATGTGTAATATCATTTTATTTGGAGAATGTATGGTTAGAAATGAGTACTGTAAAAAAATGAGAATGAGAATGAGATAAAAAATGAGTGTCAAACGGGGGCATAATACAGAAAATCATTACAATCAATGTCAATTTTAATAATTATATACAAACAAAATAGTAAGTCACTTTGTTTACCAAACGCTATATGTTGAGTTACACGTACAACAATTTTGAAATAGAAGTATATCAAACAGTTATTTGTTTTATCCAGCACTATTAATTCTCTTAAAAACATATCGATATCAAATCAATCCTAGCTAGTGTAGCTTTGATTAGACATTAATTTGTATGTTTGATGCCATATTTAAATTCGAGCAATTATTCATCGATCGCGCTAGACGTACAACGGTGCTTGATAATGGGCCTTCACAAACTGACGTGGCAAAAGCATAAAAAAATAAATGAGTAGTGCTTGATGTACTGTTTGTCACTTAATATAAATTTGTGCATCGCACGGGGGAAAGACTAGTATCAATATCAAATCAATCCTAGCTAGTGTAGCTTTGATTAGACATTAATTTGTATGTTTGATGCCATATTTAAATTCGAGCAATTATTCATCGATCGCGCTTGACGTGCAACGGTGCTTGACAATGGGCCTTCACAAACTGACGTGGCAAATGCATAAAAAAATAAAAAGGGAAAATCAAAAAAGTTGAATTTCACTTTCTCCATTTCCCCCATTTCTCCCAGAACGAAGGAATGAAACTCTCCCTTCACTTTTCCCCCATTTCCCCCAAAACCAAAACTATTCTATCTTTCACTCATCTCTCCAAATTTCTTCTGCTCGTCACCGGCCCGCCTGAAAATTAGTCGTAAGCTGCCACCTTTTTTTTCAGATTCTCGAACTATCGCAGTAGTTAACCAAGATTTTTCACGAAAATCTCCCATTTTTCCCAAAATCAAACACATACCCTACTCTCTTTCACTCCCCTCTGCTAAATCCGCTCTGCTAAATCCGGTGTTGTCGTCACAGTAACCAAACGCGTCGCCATCTCTTGTAAGGTACGAAATATTTGGATGTTTTGAAAGGTTGTCATTGTCACAGTTTTCATTTTGACGAATGAGGAAGGGAAGGGATTTTATATGGTTTTTGTTACAGAATTTGTGAAAGAATGGGTGCAAAGAATGGGTGCAAAGAATTCGGGAGTTTTCATTTGAATTTTTGTTATAGGATTTCATATGGTTTTCATTTGAATTTTTGGCTTCGGTTTTTGATAGATTCCAGTGGTCGAATGGGTGGAAATAATTCGAGAGTTTGCTACAGTTACCGGCGTAAGGGCCATTTCTTTGCTGAATGCCCGACAAAACACCGATGCCCGGAGTGCAATAACGGTTTTTAAAAGTGTTTTGAGGTTGAAAGGGATACCCCAAACAAAGGAAAAATTTTCAAATGTTGCAGTCACAAGTGTGGATTTTTGGGAGTGGTGTGACATTGGAGAATCAAGTGGAGTATCGAGTTAGCCGTACTAAAATTGACAATATATCCTGCAAGTTCAAATCTGAAGTCCGATTGATAGACAAAGAAGAAATCAATATATCCATGACCGTGACAATCCGCAAGAATAAGTAAAACGTTGTTTGGTAAACACAAATGGAAGGAGTTGTGTTGATTAGAATGAGTAGATTAGTATGTTGATTAGTATCCATCAGTTTGAATGTGGGAACTGCAGGATTCAAACATTTTGATTTTGGCATAATCGATAGGGTAGTCAGGTCCAATTAGCATGCTGCCTGGAACTTGTAGTTCATATTTTGATGTCTTTGCAGTTTGCATCTCCATGTATTATCAGCCTGATTGTAGTTTGTTGTAATAGCAGCGACTTATGTCCTAATAGCATATTCCATTTCCATTTTAATCTGTTTTAGTTTTGTGCTGGAATTGTTTGGCAATTATAAAAGGAAAACTTGGAATAGCTGGGACTTCTTCAGCTAGAGAAACAAAAACCTACAGAATGAATGATATGGCAATTATAATAGGTGAACTTGAATTGTTTGGCAATTATGTACGGTGCTTGAATGTACACACTCACTGGCACAATGCCGAGATGAATATCAATAACCCAACCCCATAAAATATCGTAACATATCACCTATCATCACAAAAAAAAAATAACTTGGGATCTGGCTTATGCAATAAATATCATCGGTTTAGATTCTAAATAATAGAAACTGGAAAATTTCAGTCACTACTTTCACAAAGAGAAATAGATGACAATCTAAAGTAACATCTCACATAGAACTTCTTCAAATAGATGCTAAGGAACATTACAAGTTCCTAATAATTTATCACTTCAAAATGCAATGCAAACAATACAACCCAAAAAAAAAAAAAAAGAAAATATCCCTCCACTAGCTAGAAAAATAAGTGACTGGTGAACCAAAGCCTCATTTCGTCTGACTTTCTCCTGTCATAATCTGGTGCCTCATTGATGCTGTAAATGTTGATTGTAGTATTGAATATCATTACCTGACACATAACATGAAAAATGATAAGTGAAAACGACATTATGGCGTAGAAATTTACATTTTCATAAATGTTGTTACCTTGGGAATTGAATATAAAAAATTTCATTATGTTCAAACTTTGGATATACCCTTCTGATTTGCAAAAAACTCATTGTACATCTACATCTCGAGATGGGGATTTGCATGACAAAACAAAACATTACCTGTGGATTAAGTGTTTGTTTGTGATTCTTTATAAGTTGTTGAAATTATAATTTGAGAGAAATGAATGGTAGATGAATGAGTGTTACTTGCGAATCTTACGAAATATATAGTTAAAATTAATGTTTAGCATTGACTTTAAATTATTATGGAAACCAAATAAGCACTAAGTTCTGTTTTAAATTACTTATAAATTGTTAAACTTCATTTTCAACAATATATTTTTATGCACCAACGAGTACTATACAATATTCGTTTATATCTATTTATTAGAGTTGGCATTAGGTGGGTCGATCCATATATTTCAATAACTAGAACTACCTATTACACTTTGCGGTATTTTGTAAATGGAACCATTCAAGTTCATGTTTTTATTGAAATCGAACCTGAACCGTCATTTTTCAATTCAGTTCTATCCATGACATTTTTATTAAAAAAATGTGAGATGACAATACAAATTATCTTCTCAATATATAACAGAAATATGAGAAGTAAAATATGTTACTTGTTTCATTTATTTCTCTTCTTCACGAGTGTAACGTTTCATTTATCCGTCGTCTTTATGAGATGATTGCTTTATTCTTTCGTCGTCTTCATGAGAGAATTGATCCATTTATTCCTCAGTGTGCGAGATGTCTTGCATCACGAGATGGCTATTTTTCTTCGCTTTATTAGATTCTTTGCAATCTTGCATTGCGAAATGAATGTTATTCATGTTATATATTTTTACATTTTACAGGTCCAACGTGATAACATAAATGGTAGAGTTGGACTTGTGGAACTATTGTGATACTAATATTCATTATTACTCGTAGCATGTCATGTTACTATTTTTTTTTACTATTAGTACACTCATGCAGTCACGCTACACCATCTACATTGTCATTTGTTCATTAACAAAATTTTACTTGCTTTATACTTGGAATATTGTTATTCTAAACTATATAATCATATTATCTACTATGATGCATTATAGGTTCTCCGAATATT